ACAAACATCTATGAGCAGTAAGTTGAGGTGGTTATTGTACAAAATATGGTGTGTAAAACAAAACCAAGATTCATATTAAAATTCCTTTCTCAGACACTGAGAACATAAATAAGAATCAACAGAGGTTATTTACAGTGCTAGACACAGTATTTTACTGCATACTTCCATTTACAGGGTTTTTTTCTTTTGTAAATTGCTGCTAAATATGTGTGTACTGGTCATACCAGACAGTTCAAAACTTTTTTTAAAACCTAAATCTCTGGAACTGGACAAAGTAATGAACAATTTTTATGACACTGATGTTAAAACCTTGGCTTGTTTTGTGTGGTGGATAATGCTTTCAATTTAGGCTCTCCCTTATGCATTCAATTGGGATTTAATACCTTCTGAGCCAAATTCTGCCCTCACTTAAGAGCCTCATCATCCCAAGTGCTGACAATGGGGGCTGCAGAGGATGAGTGAGAGCAAGGCTTCATCATTTGTGCTCAGTGAGCGTGGTTAATTCCTCATCAGCACAGTGGGATTAACCCCAATTAATAGAGGTTCATTTTCCTTTTGAATTACTGTTTCAGATGATCTAATGGTATTTATTTAACCCTTATCATAGCAGGAAAGAGCCTTTCATCTGATGTTACTGTTGAGCAGCTGAATTCTCCTTTGCTTTCCTAAATCTCTGCAAGAGGTTTGCCACCCAACAGCTTTGACTTCCTATTTTTTTTTCTGCACTTACTTTCCTTTTTTCACACCCTCCATGGAAATATTTCTGCTTAGAGGAAAGGAACATGCTACCTTCTTCCTTAGGAGCATCTTCTGGACGCACTGATGTTTTCTGTCAAATGGTCTCAACATAATGTACAAATAATGGAGCTGGTCTGTCAATGATTCTCTCTCCTCCCTGTGACACAGCTAAAGAGTCACAACGTGCTGTGTTTTAGAGAGATTCAATCGACCTGCTGCAACCACAGCAGCCTTTTACAGAAGGTCTATCCAGATTCACACAAGGCATGTTCCTGGGCAGGCAAAAAGTGTGAACTGAGAAACTGCCCTTTGTCCAAGAACAGCCCTGGCAGTGTCCAAGGCCAGGTTGGATGGGGCTCTGAGCATCCTGGGCTAGTGGAAGGTACCCCTGCCCATGGCAGGGGAGTTGGAACGAGATGATCTTTGGGCCCCTTCCAACTCAAAGCATTCTATGATTCTGTGATCTACTGGGCATCTGAACCCTGGGACATGCAGAAAGAAAGCTTTGATCGCCAGCCCTTGATTGTGCAACTTGCAGCTCAAAAATGAAAGGTGTGTGAAGGCAGATGTGAAGATGGCCCAGGGCTGCCCCACTCTCTCTTTGCTCCTTGCTGTTGTGTACACAGACACTTCTCAGCCATGATTTAGAGCAGCCTGGTCGTGGTTTCATCCAGTTGTGTGGGTAAGAGCTCCAAAATAGGACCCTGTGATCAAAATGTCCGGAAACATGAGGTCATGACATCAAAAGGCCAGTTCCGTAGTGAAAGTATGGCTTTCAGGTGCCGCTGCCTTCAAAGGTCAGCACTAAAACAAAGGAGAAATCTATATTTGGGAACATTCATGCAAAGCACTACCGTTTGCTGTTCGTCAGAGGTACCAAGGCAATTGGAGATTACAAAAAAAAACCAACGAAAACCCCCCAAAACAAATTTAAAAACCCCCAATCCAACCTAACAAACAAAACCAACCAAACAAAACCCAAAACAACAACAACAACAACAACAACAACAACAACAACAAAAAAGGGAAAAAAATTGTCCAGCTCATGAAGGTAAGAAACTTTTGGAAAAAATACTTCTTTTTTTTTTTTTTTTGCCACAGATGTTAGTTACATAATTAAACTAGGAATGTCATTACTGAGCTCTGCTATAACCTGCACAGGGCTGCATGGACCTACGGTGGTAGCGAATGGCCAACTTTCCCGGGAAAGTTTTTTGTTATCCTTGTATTGCTCGTTTTTTTTACACCACATCTGTGCTTGCTTCGTCATTCTGCCATCTGCTGTAACAAAATACAGACAAAGCATTTCAGAGAACAACCTCTCCACACTTTAAAATGCTCCAAGCCAGAGAACAGCCTTTTATTTCTCACAAGCTGTAGTGCTTATCATCCTATCCTCCTCCTCCTCCTCTTCCTCCTCCCCCTGCCCCACATGCATGATGAATTACACACGCTTACCAAGCGTGGAGAACACAGAATCCCATTGATTTTGCCACAATGTTTCTATTAAAGGAAATGAATGTTTCTGCGCTTTTTGCTTCGCTGAAAGGTCAGAAATAGCAGGTCATTATCATTAAATTTTTAATTTTGAAACTCCCAATCAGGCTCGTTTCCTGTTTGGTATTGTCTGCAGATACACAATGTGCAGCGGGGAGAAGGACTCGGGTTGCTAAAGGATGGAAATAACAGAGTATGAAGAGAGTGGTTTTGAGCACACACTCTGTAAAGTCCAGTCAAAGTTTCTTCCTGGTGCAGCCGCACAAATCTCTTGGTAGCAGTAAACTCGCTGCACAGACTTCATTCCTGAACACATGTTCAAAGGTGATAAAATAAATGCAGATGGTTTCCCAAACCCTCAGTGGAGCATTTTTTGCTGTTACTAAATGGACTGTAAAAAAACTAGGGGGAAAAAAAAACAGAGAAAATACAGTTTGACACAGACAGGCAATTTCAGAATAGCATTTGGTCATCTGGGAGAAAATCTAAATAAAATGTGTGTTTATAATGATCCATTGGCAAAACAAAATTGACAGAGCATCCGAGCTGCTTATTGGAAGTGATTTTTAGAATGCTTAAATTAAACAAACGTTGCGAGCTGAATATTTTACTTATTTACTTAACACATCCAAAAAAATAGTTGGATAGGAATTTTGAATTCATTGTGCCATGACCAAAGTTGACAATAAAACCATCCCCGGCTACACTGAAAGCAGAATTAGACCTTAACAAATTTATTACAGGCTTTGTTTACAAACTTGTTACAAAATTATACAGCATCTTATGCGTACACAGGATTTACAGGGACGCGTTACTGATGTGTGTGATTGCTCCACTCTCTGGTCGAGATCTGCAGGTTTTTCTTCACCTGAGGCCTGATCCAGCTTCCACTGGAGAAGGTGAGATTTTTTTTTCTTTCCATGGACTTTAGTGGAAGCTGGATTAGATCCAGAGGGTAACACTTCCGTTCATTGTTTTCCTGGGGTGGGAAAGAGGCAGCCGACCTAACAACCTTACACGCCACGCTTCTTTCTCATTTCATGTGGAGTATTTACTCTGAGACATTTTTGCTGGCTGCTTGTGTTAGAGTTAAGAGTCAAAGACCAGTTCCTGTTACTGGATCTACAGTGGAAAACGACAATTGGCTTTCTTTGAACCTTTAAAGAATGAACCTCCCTTGATTTTCACTGAGGAGAAATAAAGGTATTAGGATCAACTCTGGTGTTGTTTACATTGCTATAAAGCTACATTTTCTCCCCTGTGTTCAAGAGAATTTCTCTGGATTTACAGCAATGTAAATAAAAGTGGCATCCTCACTGCAGGAGCAATAGGATTTAACCAAACTAAGTTAGGCTTCTTACCTCCTCTTCTCACAGGGAGATAGACCTGTCTGGCATGGTGAAACGATTTCTAAACTTAATGATCCATGACAATATCAGCTCTCAATTACTCCCAGCATCTGCAAATGATCTTTCTTTGGGAATTCAGGGTGCAAAATTAAGCTTTTAACTCGCAAAAAAATCCAGTGGGGCAAGCTCTGAAAAATATACTTTTACCCCCAAGCTAAAAAATGTTAGGTGAAATTTAAGCTTTCCTACTAGTAAAATTAGTAAAAACTCTATGGGGGATTTTTTTTTTAATGTTTGCCAGGGAATGAGAAAACTGGAAATATTCTAGTCAGATCTATCAGATACTGAGTTCCTTGTTATATTACATCCTCTCATTTTAACGATTGCCTTGGTATGGAACCTCTGAAGTTCTTATTGCTGGAAGCAAAGTAAGGATTTAGTACTGCAAGGTGATGATATTTCCTGGGAGGTAAATACCCTGGCCTCATGTTGAGAATTGAGATGCTTCTCAGAAACCTTTCTTATGACCTCCTCTGCAGAAACACCCCCTACACGCTCCAGCCTGGCTTCCAGAGACACGACTATTCCAGTGCTTGGCCTCATGGGCAACCTGTCTGGTTCTCCAGTGGTTTTATGGTGTGAAATGCTCTCTGTAAGGGATTAGGGGAGACCACACAATTTGCTGCCTGTCGCGGCCTGCTGCAGGTTTGAAGTTGGTTTTCCGGGAGTGAAAGCTGCATGAACAAAAGAATCCTGCAACCTCGGGTTTGAGTGCTCTGATCTCATATTCATTTGTGATGCTGAACACGCAGTGAAAGCCAGAGTGGAAAACCCTCAGACACTACAGCTGTAAAGCTGTTTGAGTGGTTGGTGTTTTCCAGCCCTGCCTGGGTATTAGATCGATCTGGACACAGATAACATGCAGTCCAATCTTAATTCTGTTGATAGCCATGGACTCTCCTTTATTTTATGGGAGTGGGATCCCATCCAGGGCATTACACAGCTAACGTGTAATACACCCTCTCTTCAAGTAGTGTCATTATTCCTGTCCCCAGTGGAGCTACATGACAATCCAAAGAAGAGTTTGAGGTATATATTTGCAAGTACATATTTGTCTGTCCTAAGCAACAAATCTCTTTAATTGAGGAACTTCATTATCACTACAGACTCCTTGGATTTTAGTCACCATCCATTTCACGTTCCTACGAAAGGTACCAGGTTTCTCCAGCAGTTCTAAACATTTTTCGCCCTGTGAAAAATGGAGAATGGATTGTTGAGAAGAATGGCTTTGTACGGGTGTGTGGCTTTGATATCCATGCCAGGATATCGTATCTTTCTTTTCTACAATTTCCAAGCCAAGGGCTCTCTTCAGGTTGAGGCACCACCAGCTTTGTGTCTAATTTAAAAGCTCAGCAATGCAAGCAGAAGATAACGATTTGTGTGAGGAGAAGGAGGCTGATCACAACAAACCATCTTTCATGTATTATATTAATGACCCGTTTAGATTGGTCCTTGGCTTCAGTAAGTTTCAGCTACAAATATTTTATATTTTTTTCATGTTTTTTCAATGATGCACTGGCAGCATTAGAAACAGTTGCAAAACAAATGTGCTTCAGAAACATAAATGGAAGTTGCTGGATTATTAGCAGCCATCCTGAAATGCTAACAGAGGAAAAATGGTAATTTCACTGGCAAAACTGGCATAATACACAGAAACTTTATTTTAGGGCTACCTGATGCCTGTAAATTTGACATCATCTGCAGGCTACAACACGTACTTTGGTCCATGTTTGTTTTGGTGGTGAGGAGTCAACACTGCATCCAATTAAATGTGAATGTATAGATCAGGGAATATAAATATGTACACAACTCTTGGCATTGATCTGATTTTTAACAAGTTTACTAAATGACAGTCACTGGTTTGACAATACTGAATGAAAAATACTGATTTTACACAGATTTTACAGGAAGGTTACGGTATGCTGCCGACAAGCAGTGTCACAAACATAGTCTAAAAAAAAACCTGGAGTTGCCCACAGTGGAGGCACACACCCTTTGCTCTTGTTTATTGAGAGAGAAAGCTTATATACTGTAGTTTTGCTGAAGTTTAATAAATAAGGTCAACTTATAATATATATAAAACAATATAAACATTTATATGCTACATGCATATCATATAATTTAAAGTAATAATTTATATAGCAAAGAGATGCAGATTTATGTTCTTCCTATTTTCCTCGACAACGCACACACGCAGGAGGTGTCTATCCTTATCCATCTCCAGCCTACCAGTTTGTTGTTTTCTGAAGTCAGTGCTCTAACATAAGTTTGGGATGTCTTGCATTGGGAATTCCAGTGCTTGTCATCGATGCCACGGCAGCCGTTTTTCACGGGCTTGGCTTCTTTACACCTCGTCTCATAAAAGTACTGCTTAACTGGAGAGTTGCCCGTTTTAATTTCTCCCAGAACAGTTACCTGGTGTCCTCTGATGTCGATGGCAGAGGATTTGTCCGTGACCCACAAACTTTCACTGTCACAAACGGAATATTCCCCTCGGTGGCCCTTGTGCTCCGCGTACCTCTTCCGCCGGGAGGTTCTGTTCACCACGGAATTCCCAATATAATCCTCCATGAGGTACAGCGGCGGCGGCTCCAGCGGCGTGTTGTCACTCAAGAGGACTCGGGGAGAGTTGTAGCGTCTCTGCTGCCTCAAGAGATCTGTATCCACTGAGATAACTGGTTGGAAGTCTGATTTCACATTTTCCTCTCCATCCATGTCTTGCTGAGTGTCTGCTTTCTGCACCGTGTTTTGATAGTTTTCCTTAATATCTACCATCTGCTTGGAAAGCTTGTTTTTTAAAATGTCTGCCTGGATAAGTTTGATAATAAGAGAATTTATCGAATCTTCTGGCAAACTCCTTTGATCCATGTTGGTAGATTGGATGCCACGAAGATAAGCGAGAAATATCACATAAAACAAGATGGACATCACCTTGTTCACCTGTAAGATCTGCAAAGAGACAGAAAGTCAACATAAAAACAATTAAAGGGGGAAGTTTTTTAGAGGCCGTAAACATGAAAATCGGGAGTTTTTATTATAACATCTGCACTTTATAGATACAGATATATATAGATACAGAAACACACGCTATGTGTTTCTTTGAAGATATTATTTGTTACACTTTATAAAGAGTGTAACTCATTTCTGAGGGTTTTTTTCATTCCCTTTCTCTCTATGGTATTATAAGGGAAAATATTCTTGAAGGAAAATCGTGCAGACAAGCAGCAAAATGGAGTTTTTTGTATTTTGAACTTCAGAAAATACTAGCTAGGACCCTGTAGTAAAAGTAGGAAATTCAGAGGAATCCACAGATCTTTTGGTAGCGATTTTTTGCAGAGTTGGAATCTGTTGTTTTGTTTTGTTGGATTTGTTTTGTTTTGTTAAACGAAATTGCTTCATTGCATTTATATAAAATGGAACAAAACTGACAGTAATTAGAAATATTCAAGGGCAGGTGGAGGACACCCCTCTCCCCACCCCCCTCAAAACAGAAGAAATTTTGTTCAAAGATTGAAGATTTTGAAAACTGTGCGTAAAAATGTGTTGCTTCTTTGCCATCCACTGCTATATGTAGACTCCTGTGGTGTCCTTCCAATTCTAGCTTCTGACCATATTCTAGAAGCTCCTTTGTAATTTCTTTTTAAGCCTTTGTGGGGTTTTTGTGTAGTTGAGAACCATGCATGTCCGTCTAAGGAGGTGTTTTTATTTCCTGTGGACACCTGTATGTTTTGTATTAGCACCCATACTCAAATGAAATCAATTTTCAATGTAAAATCCTGATGGAAGCAAACCATTCACTTCAGAGCACACCTCCTTTATAAACTTGTTGCATAAGTAGTGGATTGAAGAAGGAAATATCAAACTGAGAGCACCTTCATCCCATGTAATAAACCTTGGCTGTAGCCCTGATTCAAGTGACTCAGGACAGTCTTGAATATGATTCTCCTGCACTGCAAATGCATTCACCACGTGTCTGAGACCACCAGCACTCTGGGATGAGGGCACAGATCATGGAACAGATGGAGCTGAAAAGATCCTCAGGACATCATCTAGTCCAATCCCACTGCTCAGAGTGGCATCAGCCAGGGGAGCTTGCACAGGGCTGTGCCTAGTCAGGTTTTGAATATCTCCATGGATGGAGACTCCACAAGCCCTCTAGGCAACCTGTTCCAGTGTTTGACCACCCTTACGCTTAAAAAAAACAATTGTCATGTTTCAGTAGTATTTCCTATGTCTCATTTGTTCCCATTGCCTGTTGTACTTTCATGGGACACCTCTAGGAAGAGCTTGGCTCCATCTTTTTTACTGCCTCCCATCAGGTATTTCTGCACTTCAATAAGATCCCCCTGAGCCTTCTCCAGCATGAACAGCCCCAGGTCTCTCAGCCTTTCCTCATATGGCAGTTGCCCTAATCCCTTAATCATGTTCATGGACTAGCTCCTGTATATCCAAGTCTCTCCTGTACATCCATGTCTCTCCTGTACTGGGTGGCCAGAAATGGACACAGCACTGGAGATGTGGCCTCCCCAGTGCTGAGCTGAGGGGAAGGATCTCCTCTCTTGACCTGCTGGCAACACTCTGAGTACTCTGTCTTTTTCACAGGAGAAACTGTGGAAATATCAGACATCTTGAACAGAAAATTTTCCATTAAAAAAAAATAAATAAAATAAATCATCATTTTCTGTGTAAAAGATTGAACCATTTTCTGTATAAGAAGGCAAAGAAAAAAATGAAAAAAAAAATTTACTGCACAACCCTCTATCCACAATAAGTAAAACTCCTTTTTGCAAGATTGAGTCCCCACTTCATAGTTTGGAACTGCAGCAAAATCAGAGCTACCCTCTGTGGATGTGTGAGCTGCCCTTTTATGGACAAGAAATGTGTTTTCTCCATTCTCAGTTTGTCACAGTATGAGTTCACCTAAATCTAGACTGTTGCTTGCAGCAATGTTTTGCTTTGGGAGGAAAAAAAATCTAAGATGTTCAGTTACCATACAATTACTGTCACACCTAAATAAATACTAACTTAATGTAGATGGATCTCAGAGCCCAGACTGTACTGTATGAAAAATTGCAGAGCAATTTGGTCTTCCCTCAGAAAATTATTTGCTTTTAAAAACAGTAAAAATATTATTAAACAGATGTCATTCAGTGGATTTCTTGCAGCACTCAGGAGAGCAAACCCACATGCAGCATGACACACAAATCTATAGGATGGTGAGCAAAGCTCTGACAACGCTCTGCTCAAAGGCTGAAAGCATTATTCATGCCAACATGCAGCTGCATGCAATCACTGCTCTGCTTAGTCTCAAAACTAAGTGGCACTAGCAAAATACACAAGTTGGAGCAGGTGATGAGGTGGGAAAAGTAAGACTGGAGTTCCTGCAGACTCTCTTTAATGTCATACTGCACACAAAAAAGAAGGGCTGGGGACCTCACAGTTGGAACGGTTCAAATAAGCTATTTTTCTTGTCCGTGGAGGAACCCCATTAATGGGAAAAACACCTAGAAGTATTTTGCTGGACTTCATGTGATATGTCTTGTGGATTTGGTGGGAAAGATGCTAACCTACTCTGAAGTTTGACTTGTAGTTTGACTTACAGTTGGCAAATTATCTGCTGCAAAAGTAAAAATATGCCAGAACAAATGTTTGTCCTTTTTCTGGGTGCAAAATTTTGACAGGAAACACAAACGTTTGGTGAGATTACAATTTTCAGGGAGTTTTTCCGAGGCGATTCACCAAGAAGGTTCATCAGTGGTGTTCAGAAATTCCAGGGCTAGAAACAGTCAGTCTGTCTATAAAGTCCAGCACCTCAGAATATAAGACACTGTTCTAGATGGGAGAAATGGACATTACTGGGAAACTGCAGCTGTTTTATGGCCTTGGCTCTAATGTGGTCATAAGACACCTTAAAACTATATTAGTTTGTAGGTCTGGGGAGAATTGTTTTTGATAAATGGCCCTTTGCCCAAAATGGAACATTGTGCCTGTCTGAACTGATGATAATTCGAAATTATTTTTTTTTGGCACGTGTGTTGTTAAATCCATAAAAAGCAGAGGAAAATGTAAAACTTCAAAATGTTTATGTTTTCATATTTTCAAAGCAAAGCATTCTGATGTTTCTGAACATGCTTCAGATGTTACACAATGGAATTCACAAAGCAGAGCAAGTGCTGACTCAGAGTAGCCCAGTGAGTAAGTTATCTATAGAGGAGACTTGGATTAGAGGAAAGATTTCAACACAGGTATCCTGTCTAAGGGAAGACTGACTTAACTTCCAGGTTCCTGGGGCATGGGGTTATATGGATCTCAGGAGAAGTTCTTTCTTTGGCCTTTTGAAGAATGGTATAAAATCTCCCAAGTATTTAGCCCTTCACATGACCTCTTCTATTCTTTCATTAATTTTTTCTTAAATTCAAATGATTCATTTCAGGTAGAAAGACAGATTTTGATCAAGCCAAAGTTTTCCTAGTCAGCTGATATCAGTGAGATATTTTTGTTGTTCTACAAGGTTCTTTTTGAAATTTTCCACATGTAAATTCCTAACAAAAGTTCATTTTAGCTGTCCATGTGGACTGTTGGTAGTCAAGTAAATGTGCTGAACGGCCCTAGAAATGGACAGAATACTTATTTACACTCCTACAAGTAGCACAGACTAGATCAGTATATTTAGGACCTGAGTTTGGGTCCCAAAGCCATTCCACTGGGAAGTCATTCCCACTTGTCCTGTTGCTAAAATTCCTGATGAAGAGCCCCTCTCTGGCTTCCTTGTAGGTCCCTTTAGACACAGGAAGGCTGCTACGAGGTCTCCATGCACCAATCTTCTCTTCTCCTTGCTGAACAACCCCAATATTCCAGAAAACTCTTTTTCCTGAGCTGCTGAGAAGCTACAGACCAGTTCTGCTGTCGTGCTCTGCTGTTCTCTGTGCCCTTCAAGATGTTGGGTCACACCTTTGATGCTTTGAGCTCTGGCTAGAAGTAATTAAAAAGAGGGTGAGGAGCACATGGCTCTCATATCAGCCCTTGAGTGCGCTTGGAAAACCTTCTGCTATGTGCAGTTTGGAAAAGCACTGGACATCAAGGTAGGAGGATTCTTAGAGTTTGTCCCTTTGCAGAGCTCTTCTTTCAGAAATAATGCACTGGCTTTCAAAAGTGATTACAGACTTGGCAACAGAAACAAAGAAGATCCTGAAGGGAACAAGGAGTATAACTAAGTGACATTAAGCATTATGAATGGTCCAGAGGATTTGTGGGAGGATATATCACAGCATGGCTGGAAAACCAGTATATCCTGGTAGTAGACTGCTAATTTGCACTAAGCAAGTTTGACTCAGACATTGCTGATGTTGTGGCACAGCAGGTAAAAGCAAACAGCACAGAAAAGGCAAGTTCATGCATTGCAAAGCTGTTTGATCTTCTAGCTTTGGCTTAGTTTTACTTTATTTTAATGGTTTATATTCCTATCTATCACTGAAGTGTCAGCGGGGTAATAATGTTGTCTGGTGGTCCAAGGAAGGTCTAAATTTAGGAGAAGTAAATAAAGTTACCTCTTCCCTCCATCAATAAATTAAATTCTCAATAACCTCTGGCAAATCACTTTCTGCTCTTTTCAGACTCGACACTTTATGTAGCAGAGGAAAGCTTGGCTTCATTTTGATTGTGGTGAAAAAAAAAATGGATTGCTTTATTTTGATCAGTCTCTGAACAGTCTACACAGCTGAGGAGCAAAGCATAATCTAAAATATTCTGTGAAAAGAATGAAATCATAATACTGTGAGAGCTCCCTAAGTATTTACTTGTAAGTCATTGCTAAGAGGAACTGGAATAGAAGGAAAAGTGACAGGTGAATTTTACATTCAGCATTGGAATCACAGAATCACAGCATATGCTGAGTTGGAAGGGACCCACAAGAATCACTGAGTCCAACTCAACTCAACTCTGCATGGGAC